AGCTCAAGAGATTCTCGAGCTTCAGTCATTCTAGTTGCTGGAATTACAGGTGTGCTCCTTATCTTCAAAGAGCTTGAGGCCTGATCATGGAGATCACACAGACCTTAAGGGGAAAAGATAGCTAATGGCATCTCTGTGGGCCTTAATTTTTCCCATCAGTGAAATAAGGAGATTGGATTGAATGGTTTAAAGTTATCTATGAGTCCAGGAGTTTGAATGGTGCAGATATTTAGTTTTTGGAGTTCAGAAGGAGAGATCATTATGGACTGAGAAGGACTGGGAAGGCTTCCTATAGGATGAGCGAAGGAAGAGGAAGGGAAGGAAGGAGGCAAAGAGGGAAGGAAGGACAGAAGGAGGGAAAGAAGGAAGAAAGGAGGGAAGGAAGAAAAGAAGGAAAGAAGGATAAAAGGAGGGAAGGAGGGAAGAGGAAAGGAGAGAGGGAAAGAGAGAAGGGAGGAAGTGAAGGAAGGTTAGAAGGAAAAAAAGGAAAGAAGGAAGGAGGAAGAGAGGAAACATAATAAGACTTTACCTACTGTGTGTCAGGCACCATGCTGAATGCTCTATAAATATTGTCTCATTTAATTCACCTGGGAGGTAGTGGTTATTACTATCCTCATTTTACAGATGAGGAAGCTGATGCAAAGAAAGGTTAAGTGACTTTCTCAGGGTCACATAGCTTGTATATATCTGAGGCAGGTTTTCCTGACTCCAGGCCCAGTGTAGTATCCACTGTAGCTCCTAGCTGGCCTTTAGCTTGAAAGATGAGTATGATTTGAATTTGGATGAAGAGAACAGAGAGGAGGGGACTTTGAGTCAGGGGGAAGAACTTTATTAAAGGAAAGAGCTAGGAGTCTTCTGTCAGTGAGTCACTGTTAAGGAAGAAGATACAGGAAAAGAGTGGAATTAAAAAATGCAAACATGTATGAAAATATATATGTATGACATACATGTGTATGTACCTACACATGGCTGGAAAGGTAAGTTGGGACCAGATTGAGGGTAGCCTTGAACATCACACTAAGGAATTTTATCCCTTAGCCATGCGGAGCCACTGAAGACTTTTGAATTGCAGAGTGACATGCTTTTTATTAGAAAGCTTAATTCATTCCCCATTTTGACTCTTTTGTATTTTTCACCACAGGACCTTAGATGTAGAGCCAGAAGGGACTTCAGAGGCCCCCCATTTGTCAGATGAAAAACTGAGGCCCAGGGAGATGAGAGGACCCAGGGTCATCTGGGTACTAGGTGTCAGAGGTAGGATACCTATAGGGAAGCTGTTTTGTCTATACCTCATGCTCAAATCGGGGAATGCTCTCTGATCCTCAGGAAAAATCACTGGCCTCCTACAAGAAAAGGAGCTCCCTGCGCCGTATGGGCATGAATGTCAATCTGTTGGTTTCAGGTTCCAAAGGCAAGATCTGCAAAAGAATTCGTTTTTGAGACAAGTCATCCGGCTGCCTTGAAAATGGTCCGTGCAGCAGGGCCTCTTCCCCCGGGAGGTTCCTTTGAATATTGCAGGAGATGGAGGAGTGGCTGAGCAGAGGCTGAGCTCAGAATCCATGAGCCAGTGCTTGACTTTGCTCTGCGACCTCGTGAGAATCATCTGATTGCTCGATGCTGCAGTTTCTTCATTTGTAAAAAAGAGGAGCTGGGGCATCAAGAATTTTAGCTCAGTAAGGGACCTTAATTTGAGATTTTATAATCTGGATTTGGAGCAGCAAGAGGCCCGCCATGTACAGTGGATAGTGTTGGCCTTGGAGTAAGGAAGACCAGAGGTTCACATCTTCCCTCAGGCACTTACCAGCTAGGGGACCCTGGACAATTTTCAGTCTCAACCTCTCAGACTCAGTTTCCTCCCCCGTAAATTGGGGATAACAACAGCACTTGCCTCCCAAGGTTATTGGGAGAATCAAGTGAGATAACATGTGTAAAGTACTCTGCAAAACTTCGAGTGCTGAATAAATGCCAGTTATCATTATTGAACCCCATCATTTGGTAGGCCTAAGAAGGATAAGTGACTTACCCAAGGTCACATGGATAGTAAGTGGCAGAGTTGGGTCTCAAACTCTGGTCTTCTGAATCCTAATCTTCCCAAGAATACCACACTAATAATAAGTCACCTAAAAATTAATGAATTTAAAAGCTAGAAAGGTATGAATATAGTGGTTAAAGTATTGGATTTGGAGTCAGAGAAGTAATCACTTTCTCTGCCTGAGCCTCAGTTTCTTTCTCCATAAGATAAAGAAGTTGAACAAGATTATTCCTAAGGTCTTTTCCAGCTCTTAAAGTCCATGGATTTACAATCTATATTTGAACCCTGGTTCTGTCACTTACTACTTTTGGTGTTCAGTTGTATCTGATTCTTTGTGACCCCTTTTGGGGTTTTCTGGGAAAAGATACTTGAGTGGTTTGCCATTTCCTTCTCTAGTTCATTTTACAGATGAGGAAACTGAGGTCAACAGGGTTAAGTGGCTTGCTCGAGGCTGGATTTGAACTTGGGTCTTCCTGACTCCAGGTCCAGTGCTCTATCCACTGCACCAGCAGCTGCCCCTTGCTGGGACAAGTTCCTTCTCCTTCCTGAGCCTGTTTTCTTCTCTGTTAAGCGAGGGGTTTGAATCACACGATCTCTATAGACTACGATCCCAATGGCCAAGTGCCATACACAAATACATGAAGGAAATGCCATTTCAGCGGCATGGTGTGAGTGCTAAGGGACTTACCAATGGTCACATGGCTAGGAAGTGTCAGAGGTGAGAGCCTTCCTTGCCCCAAGCCCGGTGCTTTATCTATCACACTCATTTGCTGTTATGCTATAGAAATGTCAAATATTATAGGAACTGTAAGTAATCATAATGATCAATATTGAATGAATCTAAGTGTAACTAGCACCTAGAGCTGATTTTCAGTGGATGCAGCAAGTCATCTTGGGAGATTTTCTTTAAAATTGACATCATTGGAAAGAGAACATGGAGTGCAAAGGGAATGTCTGATTTTTCTATGTGCATTTATAGATGTTCATGAAGGATCTGAAGTTGTCTTCAACTCTCAGACTGTTGCACCATGTAAATTTTAAGTCATAAATTACATTCCCTGGCTCTGAATTTCTACCTGAACAATAATGTAGACATACTTCTGGGCAGTATACCTCTCCCTCTCTGTCTCTGTCTCTGTCTCTCTCTTCTCTCTGTCTCTGTCTCTCTCCCACCTGTTTCTCTCCTTTTCTTCTCCCTCTCTCTGTCTCTGTCTCTCTCCTCTCTCTCTCTTTCTCTCTCTGTCTCTCTTCTCTCTGTCTCTGTCTTTCTTTCTTCCCCCTCTGTTTCTCTCCTTTTCTTCTCCCTCTCTCTGTCTCTCTCCTTTCCTTCATTCTCTCTCTGTGTCTCTGTCTGTCTCTGCCTCCCTCTCTATCAGTCCGTCTCTGTACCTCTCCCTCCCCCTTCTGTCTCCCTGCCTCTCCCCTCTCCCTGTCTCTCTCTGACTCCCCATCTCCGTCTGTCTATCTCTGCAGTACATATGAAAATATGTTTCATTAGATGGGATGTACAGTGATGCTGCCATTCAGAAACTGCCTCTGGAGTCAGAGGAGATGGATTCAAACACCACCTCTCAAACTTAACTGTGGCACCTTGGGTGAGTCACTTAACTTCCTTTGGTCTCAGTTTCCTCATCTGTAAAATGAGGGGCTGGGACTGGCTGGCCTTTGAGGACCTTTCCAGCTCTGGTTTTAGGATCCCATGGTCTTATGGGCTTGATGGACACAAGTGTTAAAAGATGCCCAGACAGAAGCAGGGACTGGCCCAAGGTCTCACAGCACTTAAGAATTCAAATTTGAGTTTGCCCAATTCCATTGATCTTTTATACATGATGTTTAGTTTCTATCACTGGAGACTCTGAACTGCAGAACTTAACCTGTTTTGGTTATATATTTTGCAATAGTCACAAGGATTTGTTTTTTAAAAAGGAATGCTCTATTTTGGTGGCCTAGGCTGAGGCAGCTAACCGGGACTGGGTGCCAGGAGACCTGAGCCCTAATCCTTGCTTTGCTGCTAATGAGCTGGGTGACCTTACACAAATCATTGACTACATCAGAGCCTGCTTTTCCAAAATCCATTCATCTTCTTTTCCTTTACTGCGTTTCTCCTCCACACCAGTCTTTAAAGAAGGTAGCCTTTTAAAAACTGGGAAGCAATATGTCATTCTGCACCAAATAAACTGTATCAGGGACACAGTTACTTCTAAAGTAACTCTTTGCTTAGAGGAATAGTATGATAAATTGCGTGGGTTTTCTATTGTTGTTTATGAATATCCTTTTTATGAATTCAAATTAGAATGTCTCAGTATTTCAAGTCACATGATATTGAGTGGAGCGCAAACTTGTTTATAGATAGAAGCTAATCAATCAATTGGCAGGTAGTGACTAAGTGCTTACTGTGTGCCGGGCATTGTGTTAGGTGTTCCTGGGGAGAAAAACATAAACAATGAAACAGTATCTACTAGAAGAGAACTTACATTCTAAGGAAATGGCCCTAGGCTAAAAGAGGACCTGGCCTCTAGTTCCAACATAGCCACTCACTAGATAGGTGACCTTGGGGTAAAATCACTTCCTTTCTTTAGGACTCAATTTCTTCTTATGCAAAATGAGGAGGGCTAGAATAGCCCTAGTTCTCTCCCAGCCCTGATATTTTGTGTTCTAATCTCCCTTCCAACTCTGACATCCTATGTTCTAATGTCCCTCCCAGCCCTGACATCCCATGTTCTAATGTCCCTCCCAGCTCTGACATTCCAGCATTTTATGATTCTCTGTATACCTCTCACTAACCTATATATAATATGCCCTGGGAAACTGTTGTTTGTGATTCTTGGTTGGAATGTTTGAGATTGTCGGTTTGTCTAAATTCTAAGCAGCTATTCTCTGACCACCCACACACATGTGACAAACAAGCCCGTTTCATAATATCAACTGTAATATGTAAACTGATGACTGACAGGTGAAAGGGACTTACCCTGTCTTCTTCAGCCCTTAGGTCCGGCATCGTACTGACACAGAGGCTTATGGCCGTCGTGGCCACAAAGAGGACAGAGAGGCAGGCAAACACCTTCCCCGGAAGCCCCGATTGCGGGTTTTCCACCATGTCCCTAAGGTGGCTCATAAAGAGCCCCCATCGAGTGTCGTCCGTGGAGATGCCGGTGGCCTCCTTCTGCCGGTGCAGCTCCTCTTCCTTCTGTACCTCGGCCAGCTCTTCCAGCTTCTGCCGGAGCTTTCTCAAGCAGCATTTCTCGAGGTTGGACTCCTCGACCCCCCAGTACCTCAGCTCCTCCTTAAAAGACAAAGCACACATCTCCCGTAAAAGCACGAGTTTCCCGGCTGCCAGAAAGCTGACGATCATCCCGAAAGCACTGGGGCTCCTGTCGAAGAAAAACTCCTGGCTGTCTTCATCATAGTCGTCGCAGAGCTCGGCGATCTCCTCGTGGTTCCTGCAGAATTTCAGCCTGCTCAGGCGAGTCAGGGGGAACTCGTCTAGTGTGCTCCAGGGGAGAAGGTACTTGTTTCCACCAACGTTGACGATGATCTCCCTCTTAAGATCAACAGTCAGGAACTGGTCTGGATGGACGACTTTCCGGGCCCTTTGGTAATAGAGTCCTTTGACCGAAGAACCCCGGACTGGACACTGGGAGACCTGATCCAGAGAGCTCCAGGACGCATAGCAGCGGTCACCTTCGCTGCCCCCAGCTCTGGAAAGAATCGGCATCTCTGAGGGAGTCTTTGGAGAGCCACCACAGCTGGATTATAGTGGGTTTGTCTGTCGTCCAAAGGAAGAAAGAAAGTGGGAGACAGAGTGAAAGAGAACAGAGGGGGCAGGGTGGTGGTGGTGGTATAGAAAGAGTGAGGGTGAAAGAGAAAAGGAGCAAGAGGAATGAAAGAAAAAGTAGAGTGAAAGGCAAAGAGGGGAGGAGAGAGTGAAAGAGACAGAGTGAAAGAGAAAGAAAGGAGAGAGTGAAAGAGCAAGAGGGAAGGGGAAGGAGAGGGGAGAGAGAGAAAGAGAGAGGGAGGGAGAAGGGGAGAAAAAGAAAGAGAAGAGAAAGAGGAGAGGGGGAGAGAGTGAAACAGAGGAGAAAGCGAAAGAGGAGAGGGAGGAAGAGAAACAGAGAGAGAGAGAAAGACAGAGAGAGGAGAGAGAGAGAGAGAGAGAGAGAGAGAGAGAGAGAGAGAGAGAGAGAGAGAATTGTGTTCGGACAGCATTTCATAAGACTATTGACTTGGAGTTGGAAGAGACCTTAAGAGGCTAACTAGTCCACCCCCTCCCCATTTTGACAAGAGGAAGCTGAGGCCCAGAGAAGCTGACTTCACAGAATCATAGATCTAGAACTGGAAAGGACCTCAGAGGCCGTCTAGCCCAATCCCCTTCATTTTATAAATGAGGTAACTGAGGCATAGAGATGTCTAAATGACTTAACTAAGGCCTCACAGACATTAGGCACAGAGTTAGGATTTGAACCCAGGTCCTCTGACAAACTCAGCATCCTTTTTGTGGTATTATGTGCTACCCTCTCAAATTTGTGGCCTCCCCAAATCCTGATTCTGCTACTTTTTAGCTGTGTGACCTTGGACAAATCATTCAATCTCTCTGGGCATCAGTTTCCTCTTCCATAAAAGGAATGAGACTTTATGTCTTCTAGGAGATGTCCCTTCTAGCTTCCATGATCCTCTGACTCCTAGACAGCAGTAAAAGTGAGCCTTGCGGTTTTATACAAAAGCCACGATTACCCTGCCTTTAATGGCCCTGAACAAAATATACTTTGAATCTATCCTTGCTTTCCATCCATCTCCATGTGCTCTCTAGTCCTCAGTTTCCTCTTCTGTAACATTGAGGGGAGAAGCAATGTTGGGTTCCATGTTCTTTAAGGCCTCTTTGGAAAGAGCCCTGCATTTGGAGTCTTTGGAGTCACCTCCAATCCTGTGTAACCTTGAGTAAGTCTCTTAACCTTTATGAACCTCAATTTCTTCCTTTGTAGCTTGGGGACTTCGTTATTTTATATTCTCAAGTCCCTTCCGGTGCTGACATTCTATGCTTCAAGGCCCTTTCCATCCTGAACACTCTATGATTCTATGCTAAAGAATTCTATAGAGAAGCCTGGGACCCCTGTGGGCTGGGGGCCATTAAGGAGGATTTTTTTTTTTTGGTAAGAATTAGGACTTGAGCTGGGGGCCCTCAAGGGATAGGAAGGATCCAGAGCAGCAAAGAGAATGGGGGAGGATATTCTAGGTGGTGGAATACAGAGTGGGAGAAAGCACTGGGTTTGGAATCAAAGACCTGAACTTGAAACCCAGTCTGCTGGTTTCTGCCTCCTGTATGAGCTTGGGCAAATCACTGAACTCATCTGGGCTTCAGTTTCCTCATCTGTCAATGAAAGGATTGGACTCGATCTCCAAGGTTCCTTCTAACTCTTGGTTCCCTGCTCCTATGGCTCTGACCAATTCAACACCACTACTAGCTGTTAAGCCCAGTTAGAAAACTCAAATGCCTTGTTAGCTTTGCCAGTGGGGTGGACACATCCTTAATGCTTCCATTGTGATTACTTTCATTTAGTCTTCTTTAAATGCTGCCCACATCTGCTGACCCCTAGCTATGTGACCTTGGACAGGTCACCTTAGTTCTCTGGGCCTCAGTTTCTTCTTTTATAAGAAGAAAGGGTAATGTTTAGCACAATGCCCGGCACATGACATGCATTTGAATAAATGCTTTTTGGCTATTTGATGGACTGGGTTGCACGGTCTGTCCGGTCCCTTCCAGCTCTGACAAGCTATGATTTTACCTTGTTGACTCAGTATGAGTACATTACATTATTATTCAGCATGCAGCTTTGTTTCCAGTTTTATACACAATCTCAGGAGCCCTGTGACCACGTTATGGGATAGTCCTTCCAAGCCAGCATCATTTGTAAAACTGCCCACAGCCTCAGAATCCAAAATGCACCTCAATAGAGAAGGAAACTCTGTAGCCTAAGGGAGATAAAAGTTCCTCTCTTTTCCGGCATCAGCTGGATTTCTGGTTGACATGGAGCAGCTTGATTCTGGCCCTTGTATTTCATGCTTACACGTTATACGTTTTCTCCCAATACCCTGCTTTTATCGCCACATCCGTATTTTATGGCCAATAACTAAATGCAGGTGAACCACACTCATGAGAAGTGTGTTCTTATGCAGAGTATGAAAGAACCTCAGAGCCCTGGAGTTAATCTATCCCCTTCACTGTACAAAGGAGGGAATCAAAGTCCAAAGAGGCCTGAGGCCATGCAGTAAATTAGCAGCAGAGCCCCCGTGGAACCCTGGCCCCTGACTCATCAGCTAAGGATCCTGCCATCATGCATTCACTGCAGAAACCCTCCTTGGAAATTCAGTCTCTATTTATTGACACCCTTCTTTGTTCCTCCCCGCCCCCCCCCAAATCCGGCAAGCAAAGCCAGCTGTTGTTACCTTTTGAACATCTGGAAAAGGTGCTGATTGGGAATAATATTCCCATGCCATTGATTTTTAAATATTTGTTTGGCTAAGTCAGCCCCATCACGCCTACATGCCATCCTTAAAGGCAAACAGGAACTTCCCCCAAAGTTCGACTCACCATCCTGAGGTAGGGGGATTGTTTCCAGGTGTTCAGCCGCCTCCCTGAGAAGACAGTACATTCCTCATTTCCCAGGGAATAGACATGTAGGGATGTAGTGAAGAGGGAAGGAGGAGGGGGGGAAGAAAAGCTGTTTTTGGGCAGTTAAGTTTCAGTCTCTCTGCTTTGCCTTTGCTCTTCCAGGGAGGAGAAGTCCATTCATTCTTCTCCTCAGAAAGCCCTGGTTTGCAAAGGTACCTGTAAGTGCCCCCTTTCTGGGAGGACACTGGCTGCCTGAGCTTCCTAGCTCAGTGAGCTAGCAGAACCTGTCCTGCTTCCTCACTCGGCTCTGACTCCCGGAGGGAGAGGCAGTGTGGTCCTGGCAGGCGAGGGGGGAGAGAATGGGAAGAGCTTAGGAATAATCTCTCCATCAGCCATCCAACCATCCAGCAAGCAGCAGCACCAGCAGCAGCAGCAATGCCAACTGCCAGGCAGGAGAGCAGAAAAAATGCCCTCCCCTCCTTGGCCGAAAAGAGCAACTTAGAAGTAACAATAATAATTTGCAAAGCATTGGGCACAGCAGGTGCTGGAGGAAGAGGGTTGGATCAGGACTCAGGAGCTTTGAGTTCTGGTTCCAGCTCTGCCATTAACTCACTCTATGACCTTGGGGAAGTCACTTCTGCCCTCTTAGCCTTGCTTTCCTCCTTCTTGCAAGTGACCATGCCATGTGTGGCTCATTCGAAAATGCCGGGACTCTTTAATCAATCAGCATTTATTAAATATTTACTCCTATGAGCCAGGCACTGTGCTAAGTGCTGGAGATATAAAGAAAAGGCAAAAACAAAATGTCCCCTGAAGGAGCTCACATTCTGGTAGGGGAGACAATGTGCAAGTAACTATGTCTATATACAATATACAGAGTAGATGGAAGGTAAGGGGAAGGTATTAGCAGCTGGTGGAACTGGGAAATGTCTCCTGCACAAGATGAAATTGGAACTGAATCTTGAAGGAATCCAGGAGGTGGAGCAGTCCAGGCATGGTGGGGGAGAATTGTTTAGTCTAGGAAAAGAAAAGAATCTGGTAGTGTGTGTGTGTGTGTGTGTGTGTGTGTGTGTATGAGAAAGAGAGAGACAGAGAGAAATAGACAGGCAGACAGACAGACAGACAGACAGACAGAGAATGGCTGTCTTTAAGTATTTGAAAGGTGCTCATGTGAAAAAGGAATCAGCTTATTTTGCTTGGTCCCAGAGAGCAGAACCAGGGAGTCCTGGGTGGAAATTGCAAAGGCAGATTCAGGTTTGATGCCAGGAAAGTTCCCTAATAATGAGATGCTGTTGCTAGTGGATTCCCCCTCAGGGAGGTCTTCAAACAGAGTCTGACTGACCTCTCATCAGAGACGTTGTACGAAGACTGATGTTCAGGTGAGGAGGGATGCGCCAGCCAATGTCCGAGATATCGTCTACCTCTCAAAGTTGGTGTTGCTGAGATGGAGAGCGGGGGTCAGAGGAGGCAAGGGGAAAGCTGGGACTAGGTGACCTCGCAAATCCCTTCCGGCTTTCACATTCTGTGATACAGTGATGCTAGCAGACAGCCAGCTGTCACTTTTCATACCCAGAGTCCTTTCTGGTAACTTTGACTAATTGTAGCATGACTGTGCTGTTGAGAAGCTACAGAAATAACTTTCCTTCTCTTTCGGCTTTGGCTGACTTATGGCCAACTCGGGTGAAACGCACAGATCTGAGCTCTGGAAGGGCCCTGGAGAGATGATCTGGTGCAGTCCCCAGTTGTCAGACCCTAGATTCATGATCATTGGCTCTGTTTTACAGATGAGGTTTGTTCAAGGTAACAGAATCAGTTAGGTGGTGACAGGACTAACGAGCTGTGACTAGAACCCAGGACTCCTGGATGCCATGTGTCAAATCATAGACTTGTAGACTATAGGATTTAGAGTTGAAAGAAACCTTAGAGACCCATTTGTACTTTACAGATAGGGAAACTGAGGCCCAGAGAGGTCAGGTCATTCAGCCATGGTTATACAGGTACTAAGAGACACAGCCATGTTCTGAATTCAGGTTTTATGATTCCGATTTCCAATGCCCTTTCTATTATATCTTACGTTCTCCTTGAATCTGTTGTTCTGAATTCCCAACACTATGTCCTAGTGAGAGAGGCAGGATTCTGCAATGAGTACCTGGAAGTATTTGGTTTTTTCTTTCTGCCCCTGTCCCATCCCACCCTTATGCTGAGAGGCTGACCTTTTTTTCTCCTTCTCTTCAGATTGCCACGAAGATGTAGGCAGGAGTGGGGAACCTGCAGCTTTGAGGCCCCATGTGGCCCTCTAGGTCCTCAAATGCAGCCCTTTGACCCAATTAAGGACCACAGTTGAGAACCTACAGGGCCACATGTGGCCTTGAGGTCGAAGGTTTCCCACCTCAGTATAGAGTTTTCCTGTTGTGTCTCACAGTGCCTTCAGCTAGGATCACGGGACCATTGACTTAGATGTGGAAGGGACCTTACAGAGCATCTTGTCCATCTTCCTTACTTTACAGATCAGGAAACTGAGTCCCAGGGAGATTTAAGGTGTTGTCTTCCCGATTAGAACCTGAGGTCCTTGAGAACAGGGATGGTGTTTTTCTTTATATCCCCAGAGCTTAGCGCCATGCCTGGCACATAGGAAGTGCCAGGAATGTGCTGGAACCCATTCTCATGAGCTCGGTTGTTAAATGTTCAGTGTGATCACTTATATCTCAAAAATCACCAAATGCTAAAAGTCAGGACTTGACTTTTTGTTTAATTGATTGTCTAGATTTAAGAAACGGATGGAGAAAATGTAAAAAATGCAGATTAAACTTAAAAGTGTTTCCTGCTTACATTTTTTTCTCAGAATGTTGTAAATATCTGCCAGTACACCCCTGGTAGGTGCCTAATAGATGCTTGTTGACTTACTAAGTTTACAGATGACAAAACTGAGGCAGTGAGAAGTTGAGTGACGTGCCTATGGTCACACAGCAGCAGGGCAGCAGGGAACGGCACCCAGGTCCCCAGTTCTAGATTTAGGGCTCTTTCCCTAGCAGCAGGATAGCATGCATTGGCAGTGATGAGGAAATCCAGGGTGAAGAGCCTGGGCCAGCTGTGGTCTCTGGGGGCAGGTGTGGAGCTAGAAGGTGGCAGGGGCAGCATAGCTCCCATCAGGGGCCTGGCATCGGGATGGGGTGACTGGCTGCGGGTCTCTCCATTCTGACCCACTCTGACCGCCATCTTGGCAGCTCTGTCCTCCAAGCAGTGGCCTGCCTGCAGTCTTATAGACAGCATGGTGCTCTGTGCTTAGTATGTGCTTGGACAACTGTAGTTGGATTGAATTTATTGCCAGGCCATGTGGAATTGTGGAAAGAGAGCTGGCCTCAGGCTCAGGATGACCTGGGTTTAATTCCCATCTTTGACATGTACTGGCTGTGTGACCCTGGGCAAATTAATTAGCCTCTCAGTGTACTGGGCATAGCTTCGCTGGTCTTGAAGATTAATTTTCAGTACAGTTGCTCATTGGCCTGGGTAGAGGGAGCTCTTTCATCAGGGAGTTCACAATATCAATGAAATCACAGATTTGTTGTTGTTTAATCATTTTTCAGTTATGCCCAACTCTTTGTGACCCCATTTGAGATTTTCTTGGCAAAGATATTGGAGTGGTTTGCTGTTTCCTTCTCCAGGTTATTTTATAGATGAGGAAAGTGAGGCAAACAGAGTTAAGTGACATGCCCTGGGTCACACAGCTAGTAAGTATTTGAAGTCAGATTTGAACTCAGGTCTTCCTTATTCTAGACCCTGACTCCAGGGCAGCTAGGTGATGCAGTGGATAGAGCACTGGGCTTGGAATTAGGAAGACTCACCTTCATGAGTTCAAATCACACCTCAGACACTTACTAACTGTGTGTCCCTGGGCAAGTCACTTAACCATGTTTGCCTCAGTTTCCTCATCTGTAAAATGAGCTGGAGAAGGAAATGGCAAATTACTACAATACATTTGCCAAGAAAACCCAAAAAAGGGGTCATGAAGAGCTGGACATGACTGAAATGACTAAACAATCACAGGTCTAGACCAAGGAAAAAATGGAATTGATTTCCAGCCTCCAGGCATAGAGTCCTATTTGAGGTACGATCTCTTTTGCTGCTACCCTCATCTACTGATTCTTCCTATGCACTTCCATTTTACCTGTCCCCACCTTCCTGTCTCATTGCCTTGTTCTTACTGATAATTGCAACACGTCTGGCTTTGGACCCTTAATAGTTGTGTGACCTTGGACAAGTCATTTAACCTTTCTCATCCTCAGTTTCTTCATCTATAAAACCAGTAAGCCAGTCAACAAGCATTAATTGAGCACCTACTATGTGCCAGTCACTCTACTAAGCACTGGGGTATTAAAAAATATAAAAACAACAGTCTTTGCCCTCAAGGGGCTCACAATGTAATAGGAGGAATGACATGTGCATCCAAGAGATATACAGAGTAGACAGAAAGTAATCTGAGAGGGAGGGGATTGGGGAGGAGGAGAAGATGAGGGAGGCTGGGAAGGGCCTTTTGCAGAAGGTGGTATTGAGCCGGATCTTGAAGAAGCCAAGGTAGCTCAGAGGCAGAACTGAGGAGAGAAAGCATTCCAGGCACTGGAAACAGCCAATGGAAAGGCAGGGCACTGGGAGCTGGAGCGTGGTGTTGGAACACCAGCCAGCAAGCCAATGCCCGGCTTTCATGGAGTACGTGGAAGGGAGCAAAGTGGGGCACTGGAAAGCTAGGAAGGGGTCAAGTTGGGAAGGACTTTGAAAACCAGACAGAGGGCTTTGCGTTTGATCCTGGAGGTAATAGGGAGCCACTGAAGTTTACTGAGTGGAAGGGAGGGTGGCGTGGTCAGAGATACACTTGAAGAGAATCCTGTTGGCAGCTGAGTGGAGGATAGGCTGGCGTACAGAGAGACTTAAGCCAGGGAAAACACCCAGCAGGTTGTAAAGATAATAATGCCTGCCTCACAGGGCATTTGGGAGAGTGTTCTGCACACTTTCAAGTGCCGAATGAATGTTAACTGTTAGAGTCAGGCTATAACACTTTTGGGGATCTTGGCTTTTGATGGTTCTGCCTGCTTTAAGAGGTAGAAGCGAAGAGAGCTAACACAAGCAAATCTCCCACAGGAAGAAGCTTTTGTATACCATGCACTGATGGGACAGAGAAGGAAAGTGACCAGCCCAAGGGCACTCAGGGTTATTACCAGCAGAGCAGGCATTCACATCCAAATCTCTTGACTTCTGATCCAGACCTCAGTCTATTGCTGCCATGCTCTCTTTAGCTCTCTGCTTATGATCTTGGCTTTGTAAGATGGTCCCCACTTCGGCAACTGTGCACCTAGGCAGCTAGGTGGGATCTGGTGTCAGGAAGGCCCGTGTTCAAATCTAGCCTCCCACTTACTAGTTGTGTGACTCTGGACAAATCATTTAACCTCTGCCTGACTCAGTTTCCTCATCAGCGAATGGGGATAATAATAGCACCTAACTCCCAGGGTTGCTGTGAGGTTAAAATGTAATATTTTGTAAAGCACTTTGTAAACCTTAAAGTGCTATATAAATGCTAATTATTATTATTATTATTATTATTATTGCTATTATTATTACCATCCAATTCTCTTCTCCCAAGCAATATATTTCCTGGATTTTTTCCAGGAGACAAGGGAAAGATGGAGGGTAATGGGTTGATACCAGTGATTAATTTGAGGGATGATAAGCATAGACAGTTCCCACTTTTAAACTCGATGTATTTTTGAAATCATATTTTAAAGTGGAGTCCTGTGACATCTAGGCAGTTGGAATTAGGCAGTTTAGGTTATGGGCCAAATCCTGACTTGAAAGAAAGGGAATTGGAGGGGAGGGAGGTCTAAGTGAGAGACAAGACATTGCCTTTCTCTTGGTCTCAGTTTCTTCATCTCATAAATAAAAAGACCAGACTAGCTGGCTTCCAAGGCCCCTTCCACATTTGATAGTCTGTTTTCTAAGGCCTTTCCCAGCTTTGACATACGGCATTCTAAAGTCCCTCTGCGCTCTCAACAATTGATGATAACTCCATGATAAATTAATTCCAGAGAAGAGAGAGGCTTCAGTAAGTAAAGCAGAAAAACCAGTCTCTAGGGTAAGGATTTCTCCCCAGGGGCCAGAGAAAAATATATTCCCTCCTTGAGCAAACAGAGCCCCTGGTATGACATTACCCTAAGTCAGAGTTCTCAGAATAATAACCTGGCATTTTCTATAATGCTTTGAGGATACAAAACTTTTCACACACATTGTTTCAATGGAGCTTTACAAGAGCCTTCTGCTGCAGACACCTCAATGATTATTACCCCTTTCTTCCCCTTGATCTTGTTACTGAGACAAGCATATCCCCACCCCCACCCCCAGCTCTTTATATCAAATAGTACTTGGTGCCACAATCATTGGGGAGGGAGGAAGTAGTCTTCTCAGCAATGTCCTGTTCACCCCATCTTACAGTATGACCAGTGATGATAGTCCAGTCTCACTCCTAGAAGGATGGCACCAGAGATTTCAAGATCAGAGGCTTTTCCTAGGGATGCATGTAATCCCACCGTGGAATCCTAGTCAGAAAGTACAAATGCCCAAAGGCACTCACTGCTCCAGGTCCCTTCTCTAGCTTGTCTTGGGCAGTTTTCCTTTGAAGCATGAGGACACTCTTTTCTTTCCTTTCTTTTTTTCTTCTTCTTCTTCTTCTTCTTCTTCTTCTTCTTCTTCTTCTTCTTCTTCTTCTTCTTCTTCTTCTTCTTCTTCTTCTTCTTCTTCTTCTTCTTCTTCTTCTTCTTCTTCGCTAGGCAATGGTGTTAAGTGACTTGCCCAGGATCACACAGTTGTAGGTGTTAAGTGTCTGAGGCCAGATTTGAACTCAGGTCCTCCTGACTCTAGATCTGGTACCCTATCCACTGCACCACTTAGCTGCCCCGAGGACACTCTTTTCAAAGGTCCCTTTCATAGGGTAACATTAACCAGAGGAAACTTGATTCATGTTAACCACCTGAGGCAACTTAGCTTTACACTGCCCATCTCTTTGATGCTTTCAAGATGTGGACAGTGATAAATGGTTGAAGGATATGAACAGGCAATTTTCTGATGAAGAAATTAAAGCTAGCTATAGTCATATGAAAAAATGCTCTAAATTGCTATTGATTAGGGAAATGCAAATCAAAACAACTCTGGGGTACCACCACACACCTACCAGATTGGCTAATATGACAGAAAAGGAAAATGATAAATGTTGGAAAAGATGTGGGAAAATCGGAATACTGATGCATTGTTGGTGGAGTTGTGAACTGATCCAACCATTCTGGAGCGCAATATAGAACTATGCCCAAAGGGCTATAAGACTGTGCATAGCCTTTGATCTAGCAATAGCACTACTAGATCTGTATTCCAAAGAGATCATAAAAAAGGGGAAAGGACCCACATGTACAAAAATATTTATAGCAGCTCTTTTTGTGGTGGCCAAGAATTGGAAACAGAAGGGATTTCTGTCAATTGGGGAATGGTTGAACAAGTTGTGGTATATGAATGTAATGGAGTACTATTGTGCTGTAAGAAATGATGAGCAGTGGATTTCAGAAAAACCTGGAAAGACTTACATGAACTGATGCAGAGTGAAGTGAGCAGAACCAAGAGAACATTGTACACAGTAACAGCCACATTGTGGGATGACCAACTTTGATAGACTCAGCTCTTCTCATCAATACAATGATCAAAGATAATTCCAAAAGACTCATGAGAGAAAATGTTATCCACCCCCAGATAAAGAACTACGGAGTCTGAATGCAGATCGAAGCATACTATTTTCACTTTTTTTTCCTTTCTCATAGTTTTTCTCTTTTGTCCTGATTCTTCTTTCATAACATGACCAATGTGGAAATATGTTTAACATGATTGTACATATATAACCTATATTGGATTGTTTGCTGTCTTGGGAGGGAAAAAAGAAGGGAGGGAGGGAGAAAAATGTGTAACTCAAAATCTTAGAAAAATGAATGTTGAAAACTATCTTTACATGTAATTGGAAAAAGTAAAATACTATTAAGTGGGGAAAAAAGATGTGCCTTGCAGTGGAAACATCTGCAGGGCAGGAAGCTATCCCAGGAAGTGTTCCAAACATAATTAGCATTTATTAAGCACCCAGACAATTCAAAATACTACATTAAGCAACTTCTATCACATTTCCTGTCGTGACTATT